TAGTTTGTATTCTTCTTTTATTTTAATTATAGTTCTTTCTTGTAAAGTTAGCATCAAATGCTTTTTCTTCTTTGCTTCAGAGGTGTTCTTTTATTTTTTGATATTTCTTCAAGATATTTAAGTTTTTCTTCTTCATCTAAGACTATTGAAGCTCCTTCTTTATATAATACATCTTCTGCTATAAATATGATATTATACAATACTGATTTCAAAGGTATTGGAATATTGTGGCTTAAGTTGATATTACGTATTTATTTAAATTATTTTGCTGTTACTGTTAAAGTTGTTTTGTATTTTTGTATTTCTGTAATGGTTCTGGGTTGGTAGAAATTAAATCCTGTAAGTGATATTGCTAATTGCAAAGTTTTTAATATAGTTTTTAGTCTTAAATTGTTTGTAGGGTTACACCTTGCTATTAGATTTGCAAGTGTTACTACAATATCTGAACTAATTTCTTCTATTGGTCTTTGGAATATTATTTCTTTGTGTGGGTCTATTTCTTTAAGATAAGTATTTCTTGGTTCTGGATAATAGTTCTAAAAGTATTTAAATAACCAAAATTCAGGATTTTCTAATACTGATCTAGTTATTTGTTCAGGATATGTATCCCAGATTCTTGAGTTTTCACTTGATATATCTGATACGTCAGCATAATATTCTTCTGATAAGGTTTCGGTTATAGGTTTCTTCTGGTAGTAAATAGTTATTTATATGTAATATAATAAATTTCTTTTGAATATGATAATTTTTGATTATTAGCCCTGTTTTTCAAGGTCATAACTAAGTCTCTTAGTTTTCTTGTCATGGTACTATTCTTTCTAAGATTTATTTAATCCTTCAGTTTCTAGTAGTAAATTGTCAATTCCTAATTCAAATGGTAATGTTTGGTCTATTGTAAGATCTAAAGTTTGAAATAAGGCTTGTATCTTTGTTTTCAAAGATGTTCTTTGAATTGCTCGTAGGTTTAAAGATATTGATTCGAATAAATATAAGAATTCAATATTTCTTCGAATATTCTTAAGTGCTTCAATAGTTTTATTTCTTCTCGATGTAATTATATTTTCAATTGCAGGATGTTCTTCTGGTTGATTATTAATTACTCTTGGTGGGTATACTGTTCATAAGTTTTCTATTTCAGTTGTTGTAACTTTTCCAGTAGTTATGGCTTCTTGAATTTTAATTAATTGTTGACTAAGTTTTTCAATAAATTGAGTAAGGGTTGTATCCATTAATTTTTCTTTGTTAGTGTTGTTATTTCTTTTAGTCATATTATAGTATTTGCAACTATTGATACGGTTACTACTATTGCTATTGATATAATTGTAAGTTGAATTGTTTGATTAAGTTGTTGAAATGGTTGTTCGGATGTTGCTAATGTAATATAAATATTGCTCATCCAAGTTATTGTTATATTAAATCCTGATATTGTTTGATCAGTGGTTACGATCTTAATAATTTCTTTCTTGTATGTGTCCACAATTGCTTGTTTCTTTATTTTTCTTATTTGGTCCCCTTTTAGATTGCGGTAGGTATACACAATTAATGTGTTTCTTTGAACAACGTAGACAGGTGGTTTCTTGATATTTTAAACAACATACTTTCTTTAGTTGACAATTTGTACAAGCTATAGTTGCTTTTTTAATGTTTTTCATTCGTATATTATAAGATTGTAAGGTATGGAATTGTTTGTTTTGTTTCTTGGGAATTTTTTGTCTGTTTATATAACTTTCTTTCCTATATATTTTATACTATATTATTCTAAGTTATATTTAATCAGATCCTTCAGAATTTTTTTGTGAGAATTCTTAAAATCTATGAAGATCTTTGTTATAAGGTGGTAGAGTATCTAACTCTGTTTCAGTTAGTGCATATTGATTCAGTGTTTAGGCTTTTTTTAGGGCTTCTACGAATTTGGGGCGGTCAAATTGAAGGTTATGGAATGCTTGGTGTTGTGAAGTGGTTGCTTGTCTTTTTCATAAATCATGGTGATTATAATTTAATATTTGTTCTACTAATTGGTTTTCTTCAAGTGCTTCTACTTTTCTTTTCAAGTTTTGAACTTGTTGTTTTAATTCCCTATTTTCTTCTTTTAATATGGCTATGTCTAATAAATTTCTTTCACTTAGGGGAAAGAATAATTTTCGCATAAGTGCTTCCAATTGGTGTAATTGTTCTTCAATACTTTCATTTTCGTTTTGTGATCCTTGATCATTCGAAGTATCATTATCCGTCATTTCTTCATCTTTATCGAATAATGATTCTTTTTCTTGAGGCATACTGCTTATTTCTGATTCGTTATCATATGCAGGATTTAATATAGTTATCAAATTTTTCATTTCATTTCTGTTTCTTTGTTGTAATTGTATTTCTTTGTTATTCTTTGACGATTCAGAGTAATGAGGATAAAATTCTGATTTTTCAGAGTCTAAATGATCTTGATTTGCCTGGAGAGTTTTGGTTATAACAATAGGGTTCTTTTGGGTTCTGATTAGTGGTATTTTATCTTCTGTAGAGTCTTTTCTTTTTAATAGTTTCCTTGAGATTTCTTTGCATTTTTCACATTGTTCCATAATAGATACATTTGGTAACTGTTCTATTTCTTCTTCAATTATTTTATATATTGTCCACCAACCATTTTGGTTTTTTCTTCGTATTTCATTTTCTTTGGTAAGGTGTGCTTTTCCAAGTTTTTTATTTTGCTTGATTACTTTACAAATTTGGCCTTTTTGTACTGTACAATTATAACACCAAATATAGCATTTTTCTACTACGTCTGTTTCTTGGTTATATTCTCATTTCCATAACTTGTAATCTACATCATTTTGCCATTTTTCTAATTTTACTTTGGCTTCTTCTTTTTGTTCGTCTGTTAATCTATCTTGCATTTCTTTAAAACATTCTAGACATGTTCCTCCTAATAGGTCTTTAGGTGAATAAGTATAATAACATTCTAAACATAATTGAGTTAATCCTCGATTTTCTGTTATTATCATAGCATTAGTTCTGGTTGCATCTATAGGATAATTCTTTTTCTTTGTCCTTCTTGTTGAAATGAGGCTTCAAGAGCTTGACTTAGAGATGTTTCCATTATTTAATATGTACTTTCATCTTCTGAGTAAAGAGTTTCTTCTCTATAGTATTCTTCTATAGTATCATGATTTTGGTAATTGTACCTATCAGTAATGGAGTTAAATTTCATTTGTCTTATTATCTCTTGGTTTTCAGGAGTAGTCCATTCTTCTTGAGAGTGTTTTTTGATGAATTTGTAGAGTCTTAGTATTTTTGATTCATTTATTGCTTCATTATTATATACAGTTCTAGTATATTCTTGAATTCTCTTTGTTACTACTGTTTTTGTAGAGTATCTATGACAATAAAACATTTCGAATGCTA